GCTCCGCCGTGGCCTTGAACGCCCGCTTGCAAACGTCCAACGACGTTTGCAACGAGGATAACTCCACCTCGGAAAGATCGCCGTCAAGTATCAGCGGCTCCATGGTAGTGCTCTTAATTGTCGCTGGCGACTCGGAGGTAGTTGTATTAAGCATCGGCGGCCGTTCGGAAGTAGACTCATCAACATAATCCTCTTCGTCAATATAATCCTCTTCGTCAATATAATCCACGTCCTCATTTTCTACGGAAGCCCAGCATTTCACAGAGCACTCATCGAACGCATGTCGGCGCACGAACGTCTTCAACACCTCTGTGTCCAACGCGGTTTCTGCTTGCGGCTTAAAGTCAAACAGGACAACTTGCCTAACAAGATTGTCCCGTTGCCCTGTACATTCGGTAGTTGACATGGTACAGTTGCAGTCTACGATTGGTTCTCTGAATCGAGCCATCGGGCACTCATCATTGTGGGAACACGTTTGCAAACATTCCGGGCCTTGCTTGAATTTCTGCCAAATCTGGTTACCCAATTCCTCCAGTTCATCGGGTCCCAGATTGGTCACGTTTGCCCCCAGAATGGTGGGAGCAAGCTCTAATGCGGTCCTCTGTTGGACAAGACTTACACCTTCTTCCAAGGTGTTACAGTGGATCGCACACGTGTGCGGCGCGCGGTAACGCTCGATCGCCTTGCCCACGTCAGCCAAATCGAACTTTGTCGGAAGACCGAAGGAATGACAAAAGGGATCTTGGCTATGCTCTCGATCCGCACAAACTAATCGGCCACCATAGCCATCGCACACTCCCAGTACTGCCCAGTTAGTGTTTTCCACCGGTTGCATCCGCTGCGCCGTCTCCTTGAACGCCCTGCTGCAAACGTCCAATGACGTTTGCAACGATGATAACTCCACCTCGGAGAGATTGTCGTCCGGAACCACCAATTCCGTATCGGCTCTCAATGTAGTCGAGAGCACGCATGCGAGTGTGGTAATGGCCACGACTCCGCCTCCAACAAGTCCCACGCGCCACTTGGTGGTCCGCCACCATGGTTGAATTTTCTCGGGTACGTCAATACTCTCCTCCGAGAAGACCGACCGGTCGATAGCAAGCATCCAGCTGGCTGGCACTTGCGGTAAGAGGTGCTTCCGTTCCGCTGGTGTCAACAATCTTGCACAAAGGACTTCCAACTCTTTTGCGTCTGCGGCATCGTGTTCTATGTCTACAGCCTGCTGCTCCGAAGGTTTCGTGTTGAACGCCTCTAGCCATACCCCCTCAACCGTAGAGGAGTCTTCACCCTCAAGGTGCTTCGCAAGGACGCCGGCAAGCGCACGCTCGATGCCTTTGGCGGCCTTAACTGACGCATATGGCTCATTCTCCGGGTGGTAAACGCACATCCTCCTCCACCACTCAAACAGCCCGTCGACGTCCAGTGGGCACCCAGCCTCTAACGGACACGTCTGCGAAAAATAGTCGCCCACACGACCCAGCACCACCAAGTGGAGAACTGGCTCTCCTCCGGCACCTATTGACACCATGCGAGCTATGCAGTCATCGGTAAGGGGCGTTCTCTCTCCATTCGGGGCCACAAGCGCTGCCAGTACTTCACCAAAGCTGGTTTCGCTTGGACACGCGCACGCAACGGTCTTCATTAATTTTTGGAAATCACAAAAAAATGTTACTCGCGGCGGTGCGCACCCGGCGGCAGTGACGACCAGAGAGAGGAACTAAAACCGCGGCAGTGGAACCACCAAACGGTGCGATGAGCACGGTGCTTGTTCTCCTCCGTTCCAGAAGTCCGAGTTCACATTGTGACGGCCTGCTCCGGCTATACGAAGTGTGGCAGTGGAGGTGTGGCAGTATAGGTGTGGCAGTATATGTGTGGCAGTAGAGGTATGATTGAGATTCTTTTTGAATATCATGTATGCACCTTGTGCCTCATTCGCATTGGAGTAAGTGCGTCTACGTATAGTCTCAAACGTCTGTGGTTGGTAGTTTGTCGGAAGTCATTTGTCGGTAGGAAGGTGTGTGCTGTTATGATTGTTAGTTGAGAACCTGTTAGTGATGTAGCCTGTTAGTGATGTAGAACCTGCGGCAACTGAGGGAGCCACTCGTACCCACCTCGTGCATTCTCGTAAGAGTTAATCCAAGGTCCATTGCAGTTTACCACACTCAACACGTTGTGCGCGGTCAGAAACTTTCATGTGGGAGGTGGGCTTGGATCTGGACCAAACAAGCTGGTATGGGTCAGTGGACGAATGTGTCGGTTCAAGTTTTGGTCTCAAATACCGATGCTGTCAATGTGGGCAGAACCAAACCTCTGGCCGGTTTGCGCGAACTAGACGGCTGGGTGTAGTAACAGTCACATGGTGATGTAACGAGATCGAGAAGCCGTGGTGTAGAGCAAGAAACACCTGCAGCACGACGAAGCGATGCAACTGCGGCATCAAGTGGAGTAATCTCGTGGCTACTGGGGCAGTGCACTAGGAGAGAAGCAGGCGCGCGCCGAAAACCCCGTATAAAACAATAGGAAAAGATGGAGCGTAACTGGTGAAGATGGAGCGTAACTGGTGAAGAAGGAGCGTAACTGGTGAAGATGGAGCGTAACTGGTGAAGATGGAGCGTAACTGGTGAAGAAGGAGCGTAACTGGTGAAGATGACCACCAGAAGCTAGGACAGACCCCGTAGTCGGTCGAAGACCTGCGGAAGGTGCCGATTATGGTACAGGAAGAGGTGACCCCAGAAAAGTGTGACCCGCAAGCAAGCAAGCGTCAGGAACGGTGTAGGTCAAGAACTGGTGATGTGTTCCCAGTATCGTAAGGATCTAAGGCAGGAGGGCGCGATGGTTGGTTGCTGAGAACGTAACCATGTTATCGACCCAAGCTACAAAGAGGCAGAGGCGGGTGCGGAGGCGGAGGCGGGTGCGGAGTTTACGGGGAGATGAGTGGGACGGCTCGTCCGTAGACGCTGTGACGACTGTGTTGATCCCTTGATGTCCATTCGGGTATCTGCGATTGCTCACTGTCTATTCAGAAAAAACTTTGTCCGCGGGCGAGACGTCCGCGGGCGAGACATAACAAGCCGATAAAGCACCACGTGTCAATCAAGCAGTTTTTTTGTTGGCTAAAGGACTTGAACTTGAACTTGTACTTAGTCCTTACGCAAAAAAACAGTGACGAAGTCTGCTACCACAGTGATCAGGTCGGCTAATAGTTTTCGGCCGGTATGGCTCAGGTCTTGCAGGGATGATTCAGACTACAGCGCACCAACCCGGGACGGAGCTTTTGCAGCTCATGTCGCACTTTTTTGAAGGACACGCCGACGGAATCACCGTAACTGAAACATTTCTCCCGGTGTCTACTTGCAATCGGGTCCCAGTGAACACAAGCAAACGCCCCTCCAAGGGGGACAGCACACGTCTCGGGGATATGAGCAGGCTCTCGACTGTTCCCCAGGTCTACTCCGTCACAGGCATCCATGGGGGCTTCCACTCTTGTCAGCAGCATCGGCCAAGGGACATCACAAACCACGGGGCTTCCGTCACCGCATGTACCACTCGCCCGGCAGACGTCGAACGGACTCTCTAATTGGCGACTGAGCCAGAAGATGTGACTGGGTCTGAGCTTAGCCCCCATCAGAAAGCACCTCTTACCAGCGTCTCTTTTGTTCGTCAGGCAATAAGGGACACCTTTGACACACGTGGTATGCTTCAAGTTAGTCTCGTCCGTGCAACTCGGGATCGGACATCCACTTCTCACCCGGCAAACGTCTACACCATTCCCTGGTGGTACGAGCTTGGAGAGGTATTCCAGAACGCGTCCATCTTCCAGCAAGCTCCTCCTCTGATAACACTTCTTCTCAGGATCGCCTGTATCCAGCACGCATAAACCAACACCGTCGACACACAACGCCTCGTCTTGGTGTAGTTCGTCGGCGCACCACCGGGCATCCTTCATCTTGCCAATCGTTAGCGTGATATTCTTACTCGCTTTTGTGTCAGCAACTGCACAACTGTTGCTCGTGCGGCAAATGTTGTACATCCCAGAGGATGTCAGCCGCTCTAACGTACTACGGTCGAACGCGGCGCCGAACGGCACACAGCCCCGCTTAGGATTTTCTGCATGCGTCACGCAAAGTGGGACACCATCCACACACCTCACCCCTTTCAAGTTGGTCGCATTGACACAAGGCACCAGCTCTTCTAAAACCATGGGGGCGCGGCGTGAGGACGCGCCACCCACGCCGGCAGGAAGGAAGTTCAAGTAGCACCCTACCACGCCAAGCAGCGCACCGCCCGCCAACGCCAGCTTCGTTTGTGACGGGCAGCGTTTGAAACCATCGCGTACGGCGTCGAGGTTCAACCACTCTGTCCACGAGCTGACCGCCGATCTTTGCATCCCCTCCCACCACTCTTCTGGCACTTTCGGCAATAGATGCTCCAGCTCTTTCCGCTTTAGCTTTCTCGTAAACACTTGTAGCTCATCATCGCCCGTTTCCTCAGCAACGCCCGTGTGCCTATCGTTGCCCGTGTGCTCAGTCTCGGATTGACACTTACCGAAAGCATCCACCCAAATCTGGCGTCTGGTCTCCGTCTCCACGGTCTCCTCATCTAAGAACTTCTTCAGGCTGCTGCGAACAACAGAGTGGGGAGTGGTTTGCTCCGGGACCTTGAGAACCTTGAGTCTGCTTATGCTTTCGAACAGGAGCTTGCACTGGTCCAGATCTGAGCCTTCGAGCTTGGCATCGAGCTTGGCATCGAGCTCCTGGAGTTCGACCTCCGACCCTAATGCCACCGCGTGCACTTGGCCCTCGCCCTTCACAGCAAAGGTCAAGAACCTAGCGCTCGTCTGGTCGTCAAGCTCCGGTTGGAGACCCTCGCTGGTTACTAGCGCCGCCAGCAACTCCGCTCCCCCCACTGACTGAAAAGCCGTAAATGTCTTCATCAAGAAAGAGCTCCGATCCGAAAATTTTCGGGGGACGAAATTCCTAAGCAAAACATCCTTCCAGACGAACGGGCTTGCAGAGTTGACTCGGCCTGGATGAGTTGGACGCTTATGAAACGTCCTGGGCCAACAGTCGGCGGCCGGCAGGACCGTCTCACTTTGGCTGAATTCCTAGTAGCGTACATTGGTAGCGTACATTGTTGAATATCGTCAAAATCCTTGCCAGGGATTACTTGATCGATTTTAGTTTGCTGGAGGCCAGTTTATCAACTAAAGTCGGTCGAGTAATTGGTTGAAGCTGGTTACGCAGGGGAGGTTGGGCGGGATGAGTGGTCTGGCAGGTGCACTAGAGCGGAAGCTTGTGTTTGTATGGTCCCCATATGGCCGTCGTCAGGTGGGTGAGGTGGCGCCAGATAAGGGAGTGATTTGTTGTAAGCCCCGCTGGTTAGAAGACCAGCATGCCGATCAATGTGGTTTCGAAGGGGGAAA